CTCGCTCGCGAGTAACGGGCCGGTGAATTGCGCGGGTTGCGCAACAGGAAGGCGAACGTTTAAGCTAATGACCTTTAATGCAAAGCTCCATTGTACGCGTCGCGAGTCGAGCCTGGGACGAGGGTTAACACACAAAATGTACCCATCAGGGAACAAAAAGGGGAAAAAACGGAGAGAGGACCGGAGGAGAGAGAAACTAGGAGAAAACGAGGCGAGAGAGTGCACCCTCGAGTGAGACTACGCCTCGGTGCGACCGTTGCCAACTCCTGCTCCACCGCGTGCACAATTATTAATGTGAAAAACTCGATTCTCTCTAACTATTGTCCGCGACGCAGTGCGCGTGGCCAGATTGGATCTTTTTGATCGTCAGACTGCAAAGTCTCGGTCAGGTTCTAACAAAATTAGGAAAGCAGAAACCCCCGTCGGGAAACTCTGAGCGACCGAACTTCCGCGTCCATCGTTTCCCGCTACCTTTGAATTTAATCAACGCCGTCAGGGTCTACGCGCGCCTCGGAATTATATTACTTGGAAACTATCTCAGGAATAACACGGTTCTAGGAACGGCCCTGGAGAAATTCGCCCGCTTCTCAAGGAAAACCCGATACGGCCTAATCCGCCAGGATCGCAAGACCCAGACTTATCGATTTCACAAACTCCAATTGTACGGTTGAATATTTGAATCTCACATGATACGATTAGAAAATGACCAGATTGTGCATTCTATGTACTTGGAGGAACATATAAAAAAATGTGAAAAGATGTGAGAGACGTCGAAAGTGAAATGCTGTTTGTATGTAAAGGGTGAATTCCTAGATTTTCTAACCTGGAGATACGTGACTTTGCATAAAAATCCGCAGTCCACGACTAAAGAATGTAACTTCAATAACGAACGAAGGACACAAGTACCTGGGAATGGTACGATGTCGGAATTGGCAATTAGCCTCCCACGGAATCGATTTCCCCGAGCGAAGGAAAAAAGAGGGAAGTCGATACGATCCGTCGATATCTCTCCTTACTCGTCTCAGTTCGGGACGTGGCTCGAAACAAGAATCGGTGACATCGATATCTACCGGTACACGCGATAAATTCCAGCTGGCGTTTCCTATTAGCTTCGACCGGTTGGCCCGGCTGTCGTACATCAGCGTCAGTTCATTGGGAATCAATGTCCATCGGAGGAAAAGATACGAGATCGGTGAAGAACCCACCGGAACGCGGAGAGAGTCGAAAGAGTGTGGAGAACCGCAGGCAAAAGGTTTTCGACGTCGTCCTTTTAATTAATCTCCCCCGGCTACGAGTGCCATTCAGAGAGAGAGAGAGAGAGAGAGAGAGAGAGAGAGCTCTCGTGGAGGCTTCTGCCCTCGTAGCCACGAACAAAATATTTCGCTCAACCCGATAGTCGAAAGCCAGGTTCCGTAACCAAATTTCCTTTTGCCCTACGCTAATGCAAATGTAACGCGAGCTCGCAGTCGCTGAAACGCGTGCGCATCTGGAACGAACTCGTACTTTTAACAAACGTTCATCATGTTTCATCTTAAATAATCATACATCCCTTTGATGTTTAAATTATTAAACGACGAAAAGATCGTTTCGAAATCTAAACGTTTACGTGTTCCAGATAAGAACAGTCGCAGGAGCGAACATTGAGAAATACATAGGCAGGAATCCAAATTGTACAGAAACTCGCTCAAGGTTCGAGTTCGATGCACTTGCGATACAGAGCTTGAGAATAGAGAGCAAACAAATACGACCTAGCCACGCCCTAGTCTAAAAGTGCATCGAACGCAAAACTGCACCGGGACACGCGACCAATCGCCTCTGGTGCCCCATTTATTCCCATGGAACGATTCGTTCGAAACTGACACACGTATTCCCCGAGAACCCTTATCATTTAATTATTTCTAACCATGTGAACTATGGCACAGAGAAATGTAGGAGGAATAAGGTAAAGGAGGTAGTACCTGGACACTTTTGAACATAAATTTTT